CCGATATCGAATCCTTTGATTATGCACCGTTCGTTGGACTTTTGGAGGCCTTAATGTTGTCGGAATTTAGTGATCTTGGGCTCGTTGGATTCGTCTCGTCGAGCCGTTCGATTCGGGTATAAGCTCGTCAAAATCGGAGACCGTTTGGTAACTCAAATTGCGGTTTGAACCTTCCAACAGCGCTTTGAACTCTTGATTCGGACTTATTTGGGCTCGGATTGGGTCGATCTTGGTGTTTTTGGGTTCGTATTTCCGAGACGCTCAGTTTGACTGTAAGATCGTTGAAATCGGAGTTCGGATGCTCCCGGATTTAATTTTTGAAGTCTCCAACTAGTTTTTGCCTCGAGATTCGTGCCTGATCAAGCTAATTTTGTGATGATGTATCATGTATATTTATGGAAATTTGATAAAAATGAACTTTTTTGTTTATTTTGATATTATTAAAATTTTAATTAATATTTTTTAAATGAATAAGTATTATACTGAAAATTATAAGTGACTGGAAAAAAAAAAACAAGGATTCAAAGTTTTTCCTTAAACACAAGCTACGAAATTAAATATCATAACTCTAAATTTTTTGTTTAGAAAATATATATATATATGTTATTTTTAAAAATAAATTTTCTATCTATTTTATGTTTAAATTATTTTTCAGAATTTACTGTAGCAAGTCGCATGTTTAACAAGCAATTTATAATAATAATATTTTTTAGATAAGTCATATGTTATTTTAGCAACTGAGCAAGTCTAAATCAGCATAAATCGGTGATTTGATAGATGCTTTGCCTATTTTTAAATTTATTATTTTTCTATACTTAACAATATTATAAAATTTTTGAATAATAACTAGTTTAAAAATTGAGAAATACACCAATTGTCCCCTCCACTATTCTCCACACAAATCTAATGAAATCCATACTTGGCCAAAATCTCATCCCATCCATTACTTCCTCCCCACTCTCTTCATTTCCATGTCTTCTTCCTCCCCAGTCTGCCCTTCTCCTTCTCTTCCACTTCCCCCTTCACCTCTTCCTCCCTTCCCTCCTTTCGTCCCCTTCCTCTCCCTCCCTCTCCCTCTTCCCTCCACCCTTCTCAAACCACTCCATGACATCGCCATCCGCTCCGCCGCCACAGCCTCCACCTCACTCCTCATCTCCCTTCACTCCCGCCTTCTCTCCGCCTCCTCCGCCTCCCTCTTCCCATATGCCGTCCACCTCCTCCTCCGCCCCTCCTTCCCCATCCACCTCCTCCTTCTCATGGAACTCCCTTCTCCGCTTCCTCGCCTTCTCCCCCACTCCAAAACCCCTCAATCTCTCCCTCTTCCTCTTCATGCTCCTCCACTCCTCCCCTCCCCCCGACAGCCGCTCCTTCTCTTTCATCCTCAAAGCCTACGCTCACCTCTTTTCCTTCCGCCTCGGCTCCCAGAATCACTCTTACATCCTCAAGCTCGGCTTCTCCTCCGACACATTCATCGCCAACAGTCTCATGCATTTCTACATCACCTTCGGTCTCCTGCAACTCGCTCGCATGCTGTTCGACGATATGCCCAACCGGACCCAAGTTTCCTGGAACGTCATGATCGATGGCTACTCCATCACCGGCGATTACTGTTAGAGAGAAATTATTTGTAAGAGTGGAAGAGGATAAAAACAAGAGGAACTTCTATTATAAAATATTTCTCTCTTACATCAAAATGACAAGACTCAATACCGTTTTATACTAGTGCAAAGATAATTCTAGAAACATTCTAGAGATTTCCATAATAAAAGTTCAACTTCCAACCACTAAGAGTTATTACATATTCTAGATATTTATTCCATACAATTTCCTAGATACACAAAAAACTTGATCATTAATTTTGGTTTATATTTCCAACACTCCCCCTTAAACCAAAATTTTTATCAACCACTCCAAGAAGTATCTTTAATTTTATGAACTGTTCTGCAGCTAATGGTTTTGTGAAAATATCTGCAATTTGATCTTCAGATTTCACATACTCCACTTGAACTTCTTTATCTTTGATCTGATCTTATATAATGAAAACGAACATCAATATGTTTGCTTCTCTTGTGATAAACTAGTTTTTTTGATAATGATATTGCTGATTTATTATCAATAAAATTTTTTGTAACTTCAACTTGAGAATATCCAATCTCTTTTAGTAGCTTCCTTAGCCATATTGCATGACATACACATGATGATGCAGCAATATATTCAGCTTCACAAGTGGAGAGAGCAACAACAAGTTGTTTTTGTGAACTCCATGAGAATGCAGTGTCACCCATATAAAATAAAAATTCGCTTATACTTTTTCTATCATCTTGATCTCCAGCCCAATCACTATCTGAATTTCCTGAAAGTTGAAATTCATTAGAATGAGAATATAGAAGTCCATGATTTTGTGTACCTTTAATATATCGAAGAATTCTTTTGGCTGCCTTCAAGTGTGTCTCAGTGGGATTTTTCATGTAGCGGCTAACAATTCTGACTGCATATAGAATGTCTGGTCTTATAATTGTTAGATATCTCAGGCTTCCGATCAAACTCTTGAACATAGTTGGATCGACTGCCTTCCCTTCTTCTTTCTTTGATAATTTGATTCCACATTCCATTGGAGGGCTTACTGGATTGCAATTCTACATGTTGAATTTCTTTAGAACTTCCTTTGCATAAGTTTCTTGTGTGATAAAAATTCCTTCTTTATTTTGTTTTACTTCAATTCCAAAAAAAAAATGACATGAGTCCAAAATTTGTCATTTCAAATTTTTTTACCATCGTTTGCTTAAACTCCTTGAATAAAAGTGGATTATTGTCAGTAAAAATAAGATCATCCACATATAAGAAACCAAGTAATATATCTCCATTATTATATTTCTTCAAATAGAGAGCATTCTCATAAGGGCATTGGATATAATCATTTTGTTTGAAGTATGAATCGATTCTTGCATTCCATGCTCTTGGAACTTGCTTTAACCCATATAAAGCCTTTTTTAATTTATAAACTTTTGATTCCTGCCCTTCTTTAATATATTCCAATTGTTGTTCGACATAAACTTCTTCTTCAATAACTCCATTTAAAAATGCGGATTTAACATCCATTTGATAAATAGACTAGTTATTTTGTGAAGCAAGAGAAATAATTAAGCGAATAGTTTCCATACAAATAACATGAGCAAATACCTCATTGTAGTCGATGTCTTCTTTCTGCTTGTATCATTTTACTACTAGCCGTGCCTTATACTTATCTATTTCTCCTTTTGCATTTTTCTTCACTTTGTATACCCATTTTACACCAACAGCTTCATGTCCTTTTGGTAATGTTGTGAGCTCCCATGATGCATTCTTTACTAAAGATTTGATCTCTTCATCCATAGCACATCTCCATCTTTCATCTTTTATGGCTTCTTCAAATTGTAATGGTTCATTATTTGCAAGCAAGCAAATAAAATGAAGCTCGTCAGTTACCTCATAAAGCTCTCTTAAATTTCTTGTCTTCCTTTGCCTTTGATTATCTTCTGAAATACTTGGAGAATCTTGCAAATTTGTAGACAGCTGTTATTCATCTTGTAGCTCCACTGGTACTTGCTCTTCCTTTTGTGTGTCTTTGTTTTTCCAATCCCATGCTTCTTCATCAAACTCAACATCCATACTAAAAATGATTTTTGAAATTTTGGGATCAAATAATTTATAAGATTTAGATTGATACCCGATGAAAATGAGTTTGGAGCTTCTGTCATCCAACTTAGTCCTTCTTTGTTCAGGGACATGTGCATATGCAATGCTCCCAAACACCTTCAAATGAGATATATTTGGCTTTCTTCCTGTCCAAGCTTCTTGTGATGTCATATCTTGTAAGCTTGAAGTTGAGCATCGATTGAGTGTATAGACAGAACATGTCACCGCCTCGGCCCAAAATTCTTTAAGCATACTCTTGCTTTTGATCATGCTTCGTATCATATTAAGAATATTACGATTTTTTCTCTCCCTACTCCATTTTGTTGTGGTGAAAATGGTGCTGTTAATTGATGTCGAATTCCATGCTCTTCACAATATTCTTTGAATACTTTGGACGTAAATTCACCTCCTCGATCTAATCTGATGGATTTTATTAAAAATCCACTTTCTTTTTCCGTACTTGCTTTGAACTTCTTAAACATAGTGAAAGTTTCTGATTTATCTTTCAAAAAATATACCCATGTTTTTCTTGAATAATCATCAATAAAAGTTAAGAAATATCGATGCTTATCAAAAGATGTTGGAGCAATGAGTCCACATACATCTGTGTGGATTAATTGAAGAGGCTTCTTTGCTCTAAAGTTTGCTTCATTTGGAAAACCCTTTCTATGTTGTTTTTCAAATACACAACCTTCACAAATTTGATTTGGATGAGTAATATCTGGCAAGTCATGCACCATTCCTTTTCTTGACATATTATTTAGATCTCCAAAATTTAAATGCCCAAGCCTCATATGCCAAAGTCATGATTGATCTTTCACACGTCTTTAAACATTTCATCATTCCATTTTTTATATTAAAAATAAACATTCTATTTCTTGTCATCTCCACTTGGGCAATTAATTCATTTGAATTATTTTTAATTGTGAGCTTTTTATCCTTCATATGTATGTCAAATCCTTTCTCAAGTAATTGCCCAAAGCTTAAAATATTGCTTTTCATATCCGGAACATAAAAAACTTCAGAGATAAATTGATGGGTTCCATCTTTAAGAAGAATAAGGATTTTACCTTTTCCTTTTACCGAAATTTTTGAAGAGTCGCCAAAATAAATTTGACTCTCCATCGCCTCCATTTCTACGAACATGTGTTTGTCTCGGCACATATGGTTATTTGCTCCAGTATATAAATACCAATTGTTTTCTTTTTCATCTTCTTCTCCTTTCAATGCTAATAATAAGACTGTATCATCTTCATTCTCTTTAACAAGATTGGCTTTCTCTTGATTATGATAACATTCGGAAGCATAATGACCAAATTTCTTGCAAATATAACAACGAACATGAGATTTTTTATACCTTTGATATTTTGACTCTTTCTTCCACTCTTCATTTCTTGAGTTGTGATTTTCTTCATTATTTCTTTGATATCCACCACGTCCTCGGCCTCTTCCAAAGCCACGACCACGACCACGACCTCGACCATGGCCTTGTCCATAAATGTCTTGATCATTTGAATTATCTTCATTTTTTGTGTCGTCTTTGTCACCTTTTAATGTGAGCTTTGATTGAAGAACTTGTTCGATAGTATCCTACTTTTTCTTATTTTTTCTTTGCTCATAAGCCATTAAAGAGCCCATTAGTTCATCAACAGTCATTGTCTCTAAATCTTTAACTTCCTCAATAGCTACGACAATATGCTCAAATTTATCATTTACCAAGCGTAGAATTTTTTTCTATCACTTGAATATCTTCTAATGGTTCTCCATACATTCGTAGTTGATTGACGATTGTCAAGACTCTTGTGAAATAGTCCTCCACATTCTCTGCTTCCTTCATTTGAAGTGCCTCAAATTCGACTCGGAGAGTTTGAAGTCGAATCTTCTTTATCTTGTCCATGCCTTTGTATGCAACTTGAAGTATCTCACATGCTTGCTTAGAGGTAGATGCACTGGCCACTTTCACAAAGTTTGCCTCATCAAGTGCTTGATAAATGAAGAAGAGCGTCTTCTTATCCTTCTTTCTACTTTCTTTCAACAGTTCCCTTTGGGCTGTTGATAATACCGCTTCATCATGATGCTCGAGATAGCCTTTCTCAACTATCTCCCAAATATCTTGCGATCTAAATAAAGCCTTTATTTGAATACTCCAATTCTCGTAATTCTCTTTTGTGAGACGAGGCACTTGTAGATTTATACTACTTGCCATCGATCTTGGCTCTGATATCACTTTGTTAGAGAGAAATTATTTGTAAGAGTGGAAGAGGATAAAAATAAGAGGAACTTCTATTATAAATTTTCTCTCTTACATCAAAATGATAAGACTCAATACCTTTTTATACTAGTACAAAGATAATTCTAGAAACATTCTAGAGATTTCCATAATAAAAGTTCAACTACCAACCACTAAGAGTTATTACATATTTTAGATATTTTTTCCATACAACTTCCTAGATACACAAAAAATTTGATCATTAATTTTGGTTTATATTTCCAACAATTATAACACCACACTGTACGTGTTGAGAGAGATGCAGTTGCAGTTCTTCATGCCGGATGTTTACACTGTACAAAGCCTGCTTTCCGCCTCCGGCGGGCTCGGTGCACTCTCCATTGGAATCTGGGCTCATGCTTTCCTGATCAAACGGTTAGATTCAAGAGCAAGAATCGACATCATGGTGAACAACTCCCTCGTTGATCTTTACGCAAGGTGCGGGTCATTGTCGATGGCACGACAAGTGTTCGAGGGAATGCCTGAACGAGATGTGGCTTCATGGAACACCATGATTCTCAGGCTTGCAAGCCATGGACGGATCAAAGAATGTTTCTTTGCATTCAACGTTATGGTAAAGGAGGATAATCTGAGACCAAATTCGATCACATTGGTTGCACTTCTTAGCGCCTGCAATCATGGCGGATTGGTGAAAGAGGGCTTGCAATACTTCCATCTCTTTACTGATCAGTTTGGCATCGAAGCCCGTCTGGAGCATTTCGGCTGTCTTGTTAACTTGTTAGCTCGTGCGGGACTGGTCGACGAAGCCATCGACTGCGTGCAGAGAATGCCGTGCAAGCCTGATGCAGTTATATGGAGAAGCCTTCTTGATGCTTGTTGGAAGCGAAGAACTCAAGTAGAAATCAGTGAATCTGTGGCATTCAAAGCGCTTGAATCGGATGCAGAAGAAGGTGATAGCGGAGTTTACGTTCTGCTATCGAAGGTTTACGCATCTGCAAATCGCTGGAACGAAGTCGGACTGGTGCGAAAACTAATGGCGGAGGAAGGGATAAAGAAGGAACCTGGTTGCAGTTCTCTAGAAATCAATGGAATAGTTCATGAATTTGTTGCAGGCGATACTTCTCATCCGAAGAGTGAAGAGATTTATAAGAAGCTGGAAGAGGTGGAGAAGAGAATATCAGTGGTTGGGTATGAAATCGATCCGATGGAAGCTCCATTGATTGCTGGAAGAGATGAAGTGAAGAGGGATTGTCTTCGGCTGCATAGTGAGAGATTGGCAATGGCGTTTGGGTTGATGAATATGAGTTTTGGAACGCCGATGAGGATTCTGAAGAACTTGAGAGTGTGTGGAGATTGTCACAATGTGACTAAATTGATATCTGTGGTATATGATGTGGAAATTATTTTGAGAGATCGATTGAGATTTCATTATTTTAAAGATGGTTCTTGTTCTTGCATGGATTATTGGTGAAAATTGTTCCTTTAAACATTGTTCTGAATTTTTATCTTTTGTTATGTGACAGAATGCATAATAATTGATAGTTAAATGTTTAATGGTGTAATTAAATTTTAGGGATTTTTACATACATAACACTTAAAACTATGTTATTTACTCATTTAACACCTAAAGTTTTCTATTTACACACATACCACTTAAAACTATTTCTCATTTCTAAAAAACCACTCTGTAACCACTCCGTCCCTCTCTCCGTGAAATCCCGCTGGCTTCACTTCGCAAGGCCATTTGGGCGCGAAAGTCTCCTTCATCTTCGCTGTTTTATCCAAGAACAAAACAGATTTTTGTTCTCGTCGAGACGCGTCGGAGCTCTGCTGTGTAGTCTTCCTGTGCATTCCCGCTGGAACCTCCCGTCTCCTCTTATTTCGGTAAATGATCTCACGCCGAGCAAAAAACTGCTCAAGTTTGTGACCTCCTAGTGGCTTTAGGGAAATGAGTGTGTTAGGGAATAGAGATTTGCATTTTAACAGAACTTTTGCATCGTAAGTGATGTCAGGGAATAGAGATCTTTTTTGTAGAAAGACGTGTTATTAGGGAAATGAGTGATATTAGAGAAAAAAGAAGCATCCACAGACAAAACAGTGATTACAGATTTCAATGGAATAGTTAGATTTTGCAGATGAAATTCAGCTCAAGTTATATTTGGGAAAGAAATAGTGATTTTTACATATTTCTACATTTTAACAGAACTTTAATTTTTCCTTGTCCTTTAGTTTTACTTCATTATAGTTCATCATTAAAATTTTCTCATTAATAACTTCTTTGGTAGATATGGATTCCAACAATTGGTGCCATATTGTATTCAAATATGGAGGATATTGGAGCACAGTAAAGGGACAGAACAGGCTAAAATATGTTGGTGGTAATCAGAGAACTTTAAAGCTTGGGAAAAATGATGTTAATTTGATTTTACTGAAAGAACGAACCGAAGCATTATGCTCGTGGCTACGGGGTCATGACTATGACCTACACTATCACATTAACGGAACATCCCCTAAAAATTACAGGCCCATTATAAGTGAAACTGATGTAGTGGACATGCTTACATATTCTTCTGATTCCAACAAAATGGAGGTTGTTGTTGTTGTGAAAGAGCTTGAAGAAGATATGGGTATTACTTGTGATAGCCATCATGTTGAGACGCATGATTTAAGTGGGAGAAAAATGGCAAACAATGATGCAATAGTTGGTGGAATGTCTGATGGCTTTCTTGAGACTCCAGATTTAGAGGCTAATTTGCTAGTTGTGGGATCGCGTTTTGAGGATTCATTCAGTTTCAAACAATGCATTCGTTCCAACGCAATAATACATAACTATGATATCAAGATAAAGGCAAGTGACAAATCACGAGTTATTGCTACATGCTCATATCGTGGTTGTCCTTGGAGGATAAGAGCTTCGTTATGTTCTGATGGTCACTCCTTTGAAGTGAAAAAATTACATCCTACACATTTATGCCCAGGGGTCAACAGAGCTGGGAACAAGCAAGCAACTACAAGCTGGGTTGCGCAAGAAATCCAGGATATTGTCAAAAGAAATCCAGATATTACACCAAAGGATATTAGTAATAACTTGGAGAGTACTTATGGTTTAAGTTTGCCCTACATGAAAATATGGCGATCAAGGGCACTAGCAAGAGATCAGATGTTTGGATCAATAGATGAGAACTACAAGTTGGTTCCAATGTTAAGGTCTGAATTACGCAAAAGAAATTCAGGATCTCATATTACATATCAATGTGACAACAACAACAAATCATTCAAAAGATTCTTTGTTAGTTTTAAAGTTTGCATTGATGGCTTTCTCTCCGGTTGTAGATATTTAATTGGTGTTGATGCGTGCCATTTGAAATCAAAATATTTGGGTGTTCTACTTTCTGCAAATTGTCTTGATGGAAATAATGGCCTTTTCACTATTGCATTTGCTGTTGCTGAATCAGAATCAAGGAAGAGTTGGGAGTGGTTTTTAAAGAATTTGTCTGAAGCTTTTTGTTGTGAAATAGAACACTTGGCCTTCATATCTGATATGGAAAAAGGACTTGGTGAAGCAATAAAGGTTATTTTTCCAAAAGCTGAGCATAGGGTATGTATGAGACACCTTTGGAAGAACATTAAGAAATTTTTCCGCTGCGAAGATGGGCAAAAATTGCAGAAATTAGTTTGGACTGCTGCAAATTGTTTTAGTCAGCACACTTTCAATGCCAATTTTGAAGAAATTCGTAAGCTTAGTCCTGGAGTATATTCATATCTAAGTGCATTGACATGTAAGTGGTCTAAATCCACTTTTTCTCAACATATTAAAAACTACTACAACACAAATAATATGTCAGAATCTTTTAATTCATGGGTGGAAGAGGCTAGGAGTAAACCAGTCGTTGATCTAATCGACATGATTAGAGGAATGATAATGGAACAACGTTCCCAAAGGAAGGTGAATTGTAGTTCTTGGAAGGGGCCACTTGTTCCTTGCATGGAGGAATATCTTAGAGATATTACAACAACGAAAGATCACTTTCTTATTCGCCAATCTACTCCGTCTAAGGCTGAGGTCGAAGGAAGGTACGAGCGGCATGAGGTGGATATTGAGAACCATATATGTAGTTGTGGATTTTGGCAAGTGTCTGGACTTCCATGCGTACATGGTGCCGCATTCATTGGATCTAAACATTACAATATTTGGCACACCTACGTGGACGATCACTACTACACATCTAGGTTTGCATCCAATAAAGTCTTATGAATTCATTTTTATTATCTCATACTAATTCTATTTCTTTAAGCAGATATAGAATGGCTTATGAAGGAGCGATAGGAACACTACCAGGGAAGGATCAGTGGTCGATACTTAGTGATGGCGAGGATGTTGGTCCACCAATTTCACGTAGGCCTCGTGGAAGACCGAAGAAAAGAAGAATTAAAAACTTCTTAGAAACCACAAAGAAGACTAAAATCAGTCATAAGTGTGGACGTTGCAATTCTGTTGGCCACCATAGAAACACTTGTAAGAACCCTTTGAATGGTGATGGACAAGAAAATGATGTTGACTTTGAAATGCCAACAGTTTCCGCTCCACGTGAAAAATTCCCGATTAGGCGTGCTGATCATTGCTAATTTTGAATTGTTTAAAGCTTACATATAGCTTCAGATTTTTGTCACAATTTTTGGAAAGAAACTAATTTCAATTTTGTAAACAAAATATTTTGTTGTGCTGAACATTGCTCGGGTTCTGTTGTGCTGAACATTACTCTGGTTTTGTTATGCCTGATCATTGCTAATATCCCGAAAATGAACTGTTTCTTTTTTTGTAAACATAATATTTTGCTTCAGTTATTGTAATACAGATTTCACATACATTTTTTTTGCCTTTGTTTCTGATCGGGATGCCATATAGTTTTGGATTCTGCAATGATCGGAATGCATTGTTTCTCAATCAGATCGGGATGCCATGCAGATTTCACATACATATTTCACTTACTGTTATTGTTGATTCTCTTCCTTTCCAAAAAAACACAAGTTTTATAATTAATAAGATATCTTCAGCTTTCTTCAGTGCAGGATGATATAAAAAAGGCTAAACAGATTTTGCTCATGATACAACTTTCTTCAATTTTATTGAATTAAGATTGGATAATCAGATTGAATGCTCATGTTACTTTATTTAAGAGTTTCTGCATTTATGATATAATACAGAACAAAAGACAGGAGTTCAATCTCAGCTGAAGACTTCAATCACAGCTTAACTTCAGTTCATAAGTTTCATTAAAACAAAAAAATTCAATCACAGCTCAAGACAAACATTTGTGTGAACAAAAGACAGAACTTCATAAGTTTAATTAAAACATAAGTTTTATTTGCAATTACAACTTCGATAGAGAACTGGCGACAATAGCAACACCAACTAGCGAAATCAAGATAACCAACAACATTTTAATTTGAAGTAACTCATTTGTAATTGAGACTGCGATCATCTTCCTTAAGCACTCCGGTTCAATATAAATCCGGTTCAACATAACTTCTGATCCAGTTGCACTCCTTAAGCGATTCAATTCTTCGTCTCCATCATTTTCTTCATCAACCCACTTAAAAAATCTACAATCATCTTCTGATCTGTTTCGGGGGCATCGATAAAACTTTCTTCCATGATTATTAGCTTTGTAGCAAGTATAGACTTTACATTGCATATTACAATGACAATAGAATGGATTATCTAGCCTTCTCGGTGATGGATTGGAGCGGCTCGAACTCATGTGAGAATCTAAAATTGCACAAAACTTATAATTTACAAATGAATATTTGCAAAATTTGATTTGAAGTCTTCATAACTTGGAGTTGATTTTTCTGAAATGTTAGTACACACTAGAGCAAAAATAAATTTTTCAAAAAATGTTAGGAGATATATATACATAAAATAATAATATTTGAAATCATCAAAATAATACAAGTTGCAAGAATGTAAAACATGCAAATAACAACTCTCTTAACAAAATGGAGGTTTTCTCTTCTTTTTGTGCTTATTGTGAGTCCGTTGGTCATGCGAGAGGGGAGTGTCGGTCTAATTCTTCTGAGCATTTAAATGTCCCTATTTCATTTTTGTCGCATGCTCTTGCAGAGGTTAATGTTGTTGCTGAAGCTGTTCTTGGTGGGTTGGTTGGTGTCTTGAGGGATTTGGATGGTGGGTCTGCTAACCTGGTGTGTGTGGTGATGCGGGTTCTCAACCTATGGAATTGAGTCCTAATGTTGGCTTTGAGGTGAATGGTGTTGGCCATGTTCCTTTTGTTCCCATTTGTGTTGATGATGGTTTTCCTAATTCTGCGGTTTTACCTGTTTCTTCAGACTTCCCTATTGGCATCGTTAATGATTTTCCGCCTATTTCTGAGGTTGGGCATGCTGAGGTGCCTGTGTTGGATTCCCCTTTGGTTGTTCAGTTGGCTCGGTCTTCGTATGAACGCCCTCTTGATTCCCTTGGGCCTTAGAATGTAGATGGTGGGGATCATCTGTCTGTGAAGAATAGCGGTGTTTGTTTAAATGGTGCTATTTGCGATGTGAATTCTATTGCTTCTCCTTTAACTAATGGCGGTGTGGAATCTTCTGAGGCTATTTTTAGAGATAATGTTAATTCTTGTTAAGATATGGTGGTTATTCCTTTTTTTTATGTGCCAGTGAAATTAATCGAGCCCCAAGCTTTAATGTATTATGTGGGAGATAATTCTTGGATGGATATGAGGGTTAATATTGATTTGCTTCAAAGTTCGTCCGAATTCGAATGTGATTCTAATTCTTCTTCGGATTCTTCTGGAGGTGGTTGTCCTGGACTTGATAAATTGGTGTGTGACAGACCGGTCGTCTCTATCACCTCTCGTGGGAAGGCTTGTGGGAGGGGCAGACAGGGTAGGTAGTTTCTCGTGCTGGTTGCCCTCTTGTCACTCTGGTTGGTTTTTTTTTAGCTCGTTTTGTTTTTGTTGGATGGGAGTTTTGCTGGGCAATGATATGGTTGGGGCTCGTTTCCTCGTCGTGATGGCTCGTGGTAACCTATGATGATGCTCTCTTGCTCGGTTGGGTTGGTTGGTCGGTTGGGTTGGCTTCTTCGCGTTTTCCTTTACCAAATTGGATGGTCTGTGATTGACTTCGGGGAAGCTGGAAGCCTCGGCCATTAACTGAGCCCTTCATATTGTTTCCACATTGTATTTCTTTGGCTTTTTTTGGTCTTTTGCTACAATGCTTCATGTACTCGCTTTTTTATCAATATATGTTTTATTTTTGTTAAAAAAAAAGAGAGATTTTTTTTTTTAATTTGCTTTACTTTGATTTTTTAACAAAAAAGGGAGAATTCTAGAGATAAAAAATAAAAAATAGTGATCAACAAAAGAGAAAAAGAGTTCTGAAATGAGAAGCATTGTGGATTCTATTGCCAGCACAAATGATAGGAGAATTACTATAGAATGCACAATGTGCTAAACAATTACATGTTTTTCCTTTATTTATAGGATCTTTGCGGTACATGAAAAGCTACATCTATGAAGAAATTAATCAAAACATTATATGGTTGTTATAAACATCAAGATAAGGTTATGGTAGGTACAAGTATGTAGCTTCCTCTAACAAGTGATTACATGCAATTAAATGATGGTTTGAGGCGAGTCACCACCTAAACTCTAAACTATCATTGAATAGACATGAATGATTTTCTTTTTTTGATTGTGAGAGTAACACTTTTGGCTAAGGCAAGTGACCCCCTTGAATGAGATGAGTGACTCCTTTGGCTAAGACGAGTGCACCCATTAGATGCATCTTGATTCTTTGATGAGTTAAACTAACCTCCCCAACACAACTAAATCAACATATTGGAGTATACAGTAGCTACTCAATTATTTCCATCATAACCTTCAAAACTTTGATAAGACAAATTTATTTAAATAAAAATAAATCACCTTTAATTTATTTCTTTTACTTTGACTCATCAAGACCACTAAACATCCAATTCAAGCATAACATGGCTTGTGCATTATTTATTTTTGAACTTTGACTGACTCTCATTCAAGATCATAAAAATTTTACATTCTTAATAAGATTTCTAAGCTCCCCATCAATATATTAAATGAGGCAAACATAGTTTTGTACCTTTCAAATTATCCTTACCAATGGAATCCCTTAAAGTCGATCTCAACGGTATAATTTTTAAAAACCGCCCATTCAACATTATCCTTATGCATATTTATCAACTAGCCTTATGCAAAGCACAACACCTTCGAGGAAAATTTCAAATGCCTCTCTCCTCTCTCTCCCCCACTTTGGCCTCATTCGAACACACTTGTCATGCTTATCATAAAAGAAATTATTGCTTTTGCTTTGCTCTTTGGCGTGCCATGTAAATCCAAGAGCAAAGCAACCAGCAAAATCGTAGGGAAGATTTGTAGTGGAGCATGAGCACTTTTTTGGCCATCGGCTGTATACGTAGGTTGTCGCTATGTGCGTCTATATGCATAGGCCGGTCTTAGCGCGACTATATATCTTATCTCTATTTGAAGTACTATTAGTTTGATATAAAATGCTCAACAACTCTTGGTGCCATCCACTTTGTAATTTACGTAACTTGCTGGTTTTTTTTTCTACTGAAGAAAGACTACTCCACGCCCGCCGGCAAGCTTATAACAGTGCTGTCACATGCTGTTCCCTTAGGTCAACTTTAGCTGCTCCTTCACATCATCAGGCTATGTTTGTCTCAACACTGAACTTGTTTTTGTTTTTATTTTTTTTTTCTTTTAAGCAAATTACAGGCGAAGCCCAATCTCATTGACTATAGAACATATTTACAAGAGAGAAGAACAGTAAAAACCGAAGCGTAAGAGAGAACCTTATTAGCTAGAGCTGCTGCAAAAATGCTCGTACTGCAGAGAAAAATGATGCAAGAGCAAGAATTTATAACCAAAAACTGGACTGCAACAATGGTTTCAAACATCATAAACAACTGCTTCCCTGGTTACCAAGACGATCAAGCAAGGTGAAGAGATTGGTTGCGAAGACGGATCAAGGGGCTAAAGCTGGATGTGACGGTTCTTTTAAGCAGTATAAAATTCTCGAATGCCATTCAAAATAATTTTTAAATTATTTTCAATAAATTTTGAAGGCATCATAAATTTGACTTAAAAAATTAAAAAGTAATAAATAAATAGTTTAATCTATTAACAAATTATCATATTTGGACATTAATAATTGAAATTGCATCTTATTATAGTGTAAATAATAGTTAAATTAATTTCAGAATTGCTAGAAATATTTCTTTTTGATTAAATTTCTTTTAATTATGACTACTAAATATTTCAATAAAAAACCGAAAGCTAAAATAGTTGAGCATCGGTTTCTCTTAATTGGTTTATGCAAATCAGATTAGCATGTCATGTTGACACTAGCAAACAATATAATCGACTACTTATGACTAGATAGACTGTTCATTTGTGGGCAAATTATGATGTTGAGGTATTCAGGCCGTTTTTTAATTGAAAGTTTTTATTTGAGTCAAATGATTTTCATTGAATTCAAACTGTCCTGTCCATGTAAATAAAATTCAGTTATGAATAATATAATAAATTAAATTAATGTAAATTCTCAAAAGA